ATCGTTCAGCCGAAGTTTGTCTTGGACCATCCAGGTTCTTATGTCCCTGATGCAAGCTTGTAGAGCGTCAACAGCATCCGTCTCAGTAGCAGAACCATCCGGCTTAAATGAGATATAGAGCTGCGTATCATCAGCGTATGCGTGAACGTTAGGGAGATGGGATTCAATAACATCGAAGAGCTTACTTGTGTACAACGTGAATTCCTGATAAAATTAACAAAATTTTAAATACTCATTCCTATTTAAAAAACATTAACAGAATCTAAAGTAAATAACAATGTGCTAATTATCAAACTACAGTGAAATTGAAATCCCCTGTATCACATTTGCAGTGATGTATAAGTATGTATTAAGTATGTATACAGGCATGCGTGTTCTCCCTACTATTGACACAAGCTAGAATATACGAGGAACTAACTCATACTAGGAAAAATGACTGTGATCCTCATTTACAGTGTCATTATTCTTACAGCAATTACAGGGAAAAAATGGTACTCATGTTTCCTTCAAAATATCTCGTCTTAGTAGCTCGCTTTCAAAGTACACATTTTGCCAGCGGGTTGAGACTGATGCACTGAAGCAAAGCTTTGCAAAATATGAGCACATAACCTAATGTATAAGGCCTATTCAGCCAATTATATTAGGATCAGCATTAAGTCACGCAAAAATGCACAGAACAAAACTTCCTTTACAAAATATGTGCAATTTTTATAGTGTCTTTTTATATTCAGTTATAACCTGTCAGTTTTAAGAATCCTTGTTTGAAAGCGTTAAAAATTGAGGCACAGCATGCAGAAACGTTGGCATCACTGCTTCTATTTAAGAGATTCCAGGCAAGATAAGCACAGTTTCTTAACTCTTATATCTACCTTGATTTAACAAAAGGTACCTAAAGAAATTGATCATAATACTATACTTCTAACATAAAGCATTTTGCAGAGATCATTCCGTGTGGAAAATCGTATCTGAAGGAAGCGTAAATTACTGTACTATATGTCTTTTCGGACCAACAATTGTATCAAAAGCATATCAATGTAATCGTGAACTCTAAAATTAAATCGATATTGTTTACATAATGAAGTAAAAGCATGTTTGAAAATAAACTTTAAGTGCAAGTGCGTGAGCCGATTTGAATCTTTCTCAAGCCAAGCATGATCTCAAATAAATCAAGGAAAACCATTTGACATCGCTGATAGCTTCATTTCAAGGAATTCGGAAATAAAAGCTAGCACCATAGCTGACTCAGTGACAGGTTTCGCATATGGTTTATGTCAGTGGGCGACAGGATCGGAAACTGGCCCTCCGTCATAAAATTGGATAGCTCGTTCTAAATCAGGAGCTCTGAAATCTTGACTCCGTCGGGCAGCACATGCCCCTATAGACAATGTATAGGAGTTCCCCCCTCCCCTTCCCCTTTTAGCAAGGATCTTCGTTTTATAGATTCAGGGGGCTTTTTCTACAAAATGAAGACCCCATTGATTTCGCGTCATTTGGCGTCTGACAAAGCATTTTCGCTCTGAAATCATGACCCTGTCGGGCAGCATATACCCCTATATGCAATGTATTGGAGTTCCCCCCCCCCCTTCCCCGGGGTCTGACAAAGCGTTTTAGCAAGGATCTTCGTTTTATAGATTCAGGGGGTTTTTTCTACAAAACGAAGACCCCATTGATTTCGCATCAATTGGCGTCTGACAAAGCGTTTTAGTGAGGGTCTTCGTTTTATAGATTCAGGGGGTCTTTTCTATAAAACGAAAACCCTCTTGATTTCGCGTCAATTGGGGTCTAACAAAGCGATTTAGTAAGGGTCTTTGTTTTGTAGATTCAGGGGGTCTTTTCTACAAAACAAAGATCCCTGTTATTTTCACATCTGTTTGCGCTGAGGAACGCTTTGGCTTGGTTTTTTAACTGTCCGTGCCTTATTCAGGCCAAAAATCAGGTCTTTGGTCTTCTGTCTTTGGTCTTCGTTTTTCGGTCTTTGGTCTTCTGTCTTTGGCCTTCGGTCTTTGGTCTTTGTTTTGTAGACACCCGTGCTAACATTAATACTTTTGTTTCAGCAAAATTAACACCAGGTCTGCTGTTGTAATATTTCAATGCAGCCTGATACAAGGCTTTAGTGACATGAGATTTTTTACCAACACTAGCACCACCACTTAAGAAACAGTAAAATGCTTCATCAGCAGTTTTTATCAAATGTAAAAAAAATAATAGAAAAATTACTTCTGTTCTTTGTTCAATTTTTGTACCAGATATCTATATTCATCATCTGGTAATTCATTCATTATGAGAGGTTCAGTATTATCAACTGATGGTATACCTAAATCATCTAATAGGTTATAGTTTCCAGTAAAATCTGAATGTAGGTCATGATCACCTTCAGCTTGGTCTTGTTGTTCAAGACTTTCTGTACAAGGTGCTATATCACCATACCTGTCTTCTGTTCTACCCATATCTTGTTGTATTTCATTGAAATCTTGATTACAAACAGCATATTGCTTCATTTGGTCATTTGTTGCATTAGAAAGTAGTATATAGCAGTCTTGCTAAGAAGAGCACATACCTATCAAATCAGTTCCTTCATTTTGACATGGAGTAAACAGCATTAGAAGTTCACGATAATGTTTTTCTGATTCAGCCTCCTTATTAAACCAAACACTTCTTATTATTCTTATTGCCAATAGCTTTTTCAATTTCTGTACTATCATCATGATTGTCATCCATGAATGTCTCGAGTGGGAGGCCATCAGCATCAACTTCACTTGTTTATTTTACATATGGTTTTCCACTGCAATCATACCATGCAGCCCAGTCTGTAAGTGTAAGATTTTCTAGTTTTGCTGGACGTTTACAATATCTATTAAGCAGATCACCAGTGTAGATTTCCTTACAGTCATCATCCATTTCATTAATATCACTGATTTCTTTTAAGAGTCCACTCTCTCATTAGGAGGTGACGTATGAATATGATTTTCCTAGATGCTTTTTTCATAGGTAACTGCAACACAATATACACTGCTTCTTGTGCACTTATTTCAACATTATTCAGAAACTTCCTATATCTCTAACTTGCTGTTTATGTTATGATTTCCTTTTCTAGTTTCAGAGCAGGCTTGACGCAAAAGTTCACTCGTACCTTTTTGGCCTTTTGATATACAGTTCACTATATAAACAGCACATGCATATACATCTAAAACATACTGAATATCCATTTTTGCACTAAGGCAAAAAGGATTCTAATTGTTTATATGCAGTTCATTTGGGTTTCTTTTCAAAAACACAGCAGGTGCATTTATTGATGAACTAATGGCAAGTAAATAATTTTCTTCTGTGGTATTGAGGTTGGGCAGAAACAGTTCAAAAGAGATATCTTCACCCTCTTTGGTATCATCCAGATAATTCTTAATGAGCTTAAAATTAGCTTTGTGGATTTTAACTTTACTATCTGGTATATCTTTGTCTAAGGGATTGAGTATCCTTGTTTGTTTCATTGGAGGCTGTGGATAGTTGAATCTACATTTGCTACTAGTATTTTTACGATATGTATGTGAATATCGATGAACTTGTCTATTTACTAAATTCGAAATCATTGTGGACAATTGTGCTGTCTATATAGCACTCCACAATTTATATTTGCATTTTAGGAAGGTTTAGTTCAACAAAAGTGCCGAGAGGTAGAAGAGGTACGAGGGGTTTGCAGATTGGTACCTTTGGCACTTTCAATGTGGGTGCCATCTCATTGTTCCCTCACTGCCTCTTGCCCTTTTTAAACTCTTTTGAAATATGTGGAAGCTTCTCTTTCAACTTGTCATTGTCCACTCTAAGAGTTTGAACAGTTTCCTTCCCCATTTCTACTCTTTCTTACTCGCAATATATATATTTTTGTGTTACATAAAAAAGCTTTCGAAGTTGTGATCCATTTGCACGCATGTGTATAAACTATAACTAGAGTGAAACAAAACGAACGAAATGTGAGAACAAAACTAAGAAAATATAGCCTAACAACAAGAGTTGTAATAGGAACAGATTGAAATCATGACATACTGTACAAATATTGTGCAAACTAAAACAAATGAAATTAGCACTTTTTAACTCGTGAATTGCGCGCATTCGCAAGAGCGAGTTACAGATACGATGTGGGGAGTGGCACTCGCTTGTTCGCTCGATTAGTCGATTCCTGTAAACTTTTTTTCGATTTTAGGCTTTTGAGTGCATTTGATAGTTTTTGGCGAGCAATAAACAAACGAAAGGGCGACCTTTGTTGCTAAGAATAGTAGTGGGGTGACAGAAGCCAATGATAATCTTAAAATAATTTTTTTTTTCATTTTTGTTTCAACAAGCGGTGCCAGCGACTGACAGGCATGCAAGGATTCACACTGAAGTAACAGAACAACCTTCGTTTTTCATAAAATTGTAATTTACAATCCTTGAACTTGAAAACAATCCGAAGATTCATTGAAAATATCACTTACTGCGAAGCGTTCGGAGTTTACAGATGTTCAAAAGCTTTTTCTGTTACGGCGTGAGATTGAGGACAAAATCGATCATTACGTTTGGTATCGTGTGTTTTTCGTGTGTGAAACAGCAAAAGATGCCGGCGACTAATGAAATTACAAGTTAACACAAAAATCAAATAACACCTAAACAAACAATTTTAGCTACCGATTTTCAGTGAATTTTTAAAGAACAATTTTCTTTTAAGTTTCAAGACAATTTGAAGATTCAAAATACATATTACGTACTAAAATGCGAAAGTTATACACCACAAAATTGATAAATAGGCTTGAAATGAAATTCTATCTTGTTATTGATTATACGTTGCCTAGCACGTGACTAAAATCTACCCAGGCGGAGATCCAAAGTGACGGTGGCAGTCTTGGCCTTTTATCACTCAAAACTCGTTCCCGTTTATCATTTGATAAAAAATCATTCGTTTTCCCGTTTGTCTCATTTGATAAAGACAAGAATACAGGAATCATTACATATATTTTCCATTAAGGGTTGGGATTACAAAAAGTATTGTGAACCTTGATTTTCCGAGTATCTGTAAAATACGTTTTGTAACAGTCTGATTTCCAGCATCCAAGCATTTGAATCTCGTAATCTTTAAGTCCAGCCAGAGACGCAGAGGTGGCTCCACCAATCCTAAAACTGTGCCCGCTGTAGGCTGTAGGATCAATGCCAACTAGTCGCAACAAATGAGACACAAATGTTACTAGGTGTTGACGAGTTAAGACTTGCTGATGCTCGAGCAGGAACAGTGGTGAATCTGTGGGCTTTCGTGGCCGACTTTGTTGAAGAGTAACATTAGACTTCATGGCGCAGGCTGGGCAGATGACATGGTTTGTATGCGACATATACAATGTTACCCCTTCGTGCTGTTGGTCTGTTTTAGACTGTTTAAGTCGCACCGTCCAGTAGTGCTCACCGGTCGGAGACTGGTGAGAATTGACGTCGCTGAGTGTGAGATGCTGAGAGGGGTCGAAGGGTTCATTGCCGTTTACAGTAAACTCGCTTGCTCGTAAGAGTAAGAAATGACCACAGGTGATTGCTGACCAGAAGATGATATCGTTACTAGAGAGAAAATTCACAAAAGGATAGATCTTGCATAAGAGATCAAAGGTGATAGGCATTTTTCGCTTCGGTGAAATGAAATGAAATGTTTCCGTTCGATACCACACAGAGTTTGTTTTAGCCATAGACCAGGAAGCAGTGGATTGCTGTAGCCATTAGCAACATGAAGAGAGTGAATACCGGCCAGGTAAACACTAATGGATTGAGGTTTTATGCATGCTGCAAGATGCGTAACAAACAAGACAAGCATGTCCTCTGATGCCGGCAAGGGGCTCAGGCCGTACGTGTCACAGAAGCTGAGAAACTGTCATTGAGCTGCGGTGTAGGTTGGATGAGTAGAGTCCGTGAGGCCAGAGCGAAAGTACTCCTGAGCATTTTCTTGAAGTTGGTCAAAGGAACATGTGGTACAAACGTGGGATGTTCACTGGCCAGTGAAGGGGCCCAGGCTGATACCGCTGCAGTAATTGCATAAAGTTCCTTGAAGGTGATGGATCTGGAGAGGGGAATGCGGTGAGCGGAAAACAAACAGGAAAACCATCGCCAGCGAAGTATGCTCCAAAGGCTGTGTGGCTGGCGTCAGTAAAAAGTTCCAAGGAAGAATTGGGTAGCCATGTGTCTTGATAAAAGAAGCTACAGCTGTTCCACAAGGTAAGAAAGGTTTGCCACCAGTGAATGTCCTTACGGAATGCGACGGTGAGACAGATACGATGTGAAGGGTGGCTAGCTTTGCTGAGTAGATCGATCATGCGACGAACGAAAGTTCTTCCAGGGCGACATACAGACGAAATGAAGTGAAGCTTTCCAATCAATGATTGTAGTTGACGCTTCGTACAGTGTTTCCATGACGACCACTTGTCCAACATATGCAGTACTTTGGCTAGTCTGGTTTGATCAATTCTTGCTTCCTGAGCGAGAGAATCTAATTCAATTCTAAGAAGAATCAAGTTTGTTGTCGGCAGGACTGTCTTTGCCGGGTTTGTAGTGAAGCCGAGATGCTCACATGTTCCCAACATAAGATCAAGCGAGGTCCGGCAATGTGGATTTGGGGAAGGTGGTCCACAAGTCCAGAAGTCATCAAGATAGTTCCAAATGGGGGAGGCTCCCCTAGACGACATGACAAACTTGAGGCCCTCGACAAATTTTTGAAAAAGGGCTGGCGAACTTCGAAGACCAAAGGGAAGGAAGGTGTCTATAAAATAACCGGGCACAACAGTACCATCAATCTCCACAGGCCAGGTAGATCCAAGAAGTTCCCAGTCCTGTGCGTTAACCAGAATGTGTCAAAATGCATCAGAGATATCTAGTTTACTCATTAGAGCACCAGTTCCAAATTGCTTGAGTAGTGTGAATGCGCGGTCGAGCAAATCGTAAGTGCATGTAAACAAATCCTTGGGGATACTGTCATTAACTGAAAGGCCAGCAGGCCACAATAAATCATGTATTATATGCCACTTGACAGGTGCTGAGTGCTTCTTAGGAATCGCACCCAAGGTGAACCAGTGAAATTCTCAAAGGGTGGGGTAAGAAACGGTCCAACTTTATGGTTAAGGTCAAGTTCACGTTCGATCTCCACCCTGGCCACGGGCTCAGGGTGGAGGATCACGGATAAATGATTGGTGTGTATTTGGTAATCACGGGAAACGGGTTGATAGCCAATGCGTACTCCAAATTCAATGTCATGTAATAAATCATTTACGAAATCAGTGTCCGGGTGTGCCCACAGACATGAGCACCACATCTGCAGGTTGAATGGTGATTTAATTTCTGGCAGGGCCTGAGCAATCGGCCTTGGGGTGGTCCCCCCTACAAGCTTTGCAAACCTGGGCTCGTTTACAGGCGTCACCGAGATTGCACCATTTTCGCTGGTACAGGTTGCAGCCCCTCTTGTCCTGTAGTAGTGAACCACTTGTCGAATTTCCATGAGTCAGGCACGCTTGCTCCGGAGAACTGGGAGCTGGTGCCCGCGGGTTTTGCCGCTTCTTGAGGCTTCTCCTACGCGAGAAAGGGACAATCCCGAACAAGATGATCGAAGGACTTGCAACGTGTACACTGCTTTGGGTGGGTGCAGAAAGCGGAGGCGTCAAGGATGGTGGTGTAAAGTGTGGTGTCTAAGACATCAAGATGGATATCTTTGCGCGAGGCCACCCGTGTGCGAGTCTGTACATCGAACATGTACACACAAGGCCAACGAAATTTGCAGTTGGCGAGTTGAATTTGTTCTTGATACGCTGCCAGCTCCAAATAGTGCTCTGATTGTGCTGAAACAATTTCCATTTCGTATTTGGTCCACACTTGGAGCCATAAATCGAAGGAATCGACGAGGCGCTTGAGTTGTGGCCTGGAGATAGCGATCAGGTCACCGGAAAGCGAGTGCAATATCCCTTCGTTGCTCGGACTTGATCGCAAAACACTTAAGGCAGATAAAACGTCAGAGAAATCCACGTACTCACCATTTATGGCAGCTGGGGCGAATTTCTCAGGTAAATGATGGGGTTTGGAGGCACCGCTAATGGACGGTAAGTTATCAGGACCACTTGGATGACTAGCCTCGTTAAATGGTTTGGGGCGTTCCCGATGGAGATTTCCTCCATGCGCTTCTTCATCGTTGTCTGCTCTTTTGCGAGGCCTTCCAGCTGCAGAGACAGGTTTCGCATGGCTTCAAGAAGGTGCTGCGACTGATCCTGCTCCTGTGTCCCGTTGAAGGGCTGAGTAGTGTAATCAACTTGACATGGTGGCGATGTTGCGTGCTTTGATAATTCTTGTGCTGCATTACTATCTTGGGTTAAGGACGGTCCAGCGCAGTACTTGCCTGGAAAACTGAAGGTATGATCCTTCTTCAGCGTTTTGCAACCGGGCAGAGCAAAGAGCGTTTGGGTTTGCCCATAATAGCAAAGAAATTACAAAAACAAAACTACAGAACGATAACGTGAACAGAACAAATGATCAATCAAACGCGTGCCAAGATATGAAACGCGATCCTATTCACAATTTACGCTATTAACTTCCATTAACCTATTAATACCACTAAATTTCACTTTTCACCCAAATTTACTTCCAACCTTTTCTTTTGAACCAGAAACGGAAATGATATACGTTTAAAACACATGACATCATCCACCCTTGTCAAATGCAATTGCATGATCATTTCAATTGGAATGCCTTCTTATCCCAACGTTACTTTGTTTCTTTGCTACATTAGCGAACACTGAACTACTGCTCGTACTCTAGATATGACAATCAACCACAAAATTCCCTAAACCAGATAACATTAAACATAATCCAAAAAATCATGTGTCAATTCACGAGTTTGCTCACAGAGCACTTTGATTGGAACAAATGCATGTGACCAATTACTATAACAATAGATGAAAATAAAACGGGAAATGCTTGTAAACAAAGAAAACATTTTCCTGATTCATAACTATGAAAAAGCAAATGGAAAGGCAAGCTAAAAACAAAGTACAATGAAATACATAGATTTTAAGTGGCCAATAAAGGCTTTTCTCTCAGCACTCGTGCCCTCTTTTAAAGTACCTGTGATACCACCATCAACAGCTGTTAAACCAAGTTGAGCTTCTATGTAAACTGCTATTTTATGGTGATTTGTCTTTTCATGCTCTTTCAATGTGTCCCATTTGTAATTTGAACACAGAACATCTACCCAAACAGCGCATCCTTGTCTTACTCTTTGGCCCTCTGATTGTGTTTTCTGCACAGCGTACACAGCATACCATTACCACTATTATGATCTTGATATGTCTTTTGAAGCCAAGGGAAGTCCCTTAGCCATGTTCTAATCGAAACCTGATTTTCAGTGTTTGGAATCAATCGGTGTTGACGGACCATGCATTGTTTGATGTGGCTGGACTTCTTCTTTCAAACTACTACTACTCTTGTCTCTCTTCCTGGGTGAAAAAATAACGTAACTTCCTTTGAGTACCTTTCATTTTCTTGAGAGCCTCCTGAATTCGTCAAAACCACCATTATTTGAAAACCTTCCATGCACCAAAGAAATTCACGTTGGTTGGGAAATCCAGAGACCTTTTTGGTTAGTGTTGAACTGGGCCTTCTCTGATGTGAAAAATAAAGAAATTAAACTGAGGAAGGAAAGTTTGTTCATAGTGAGTTGTGATTTGCAAAATTTTCGTAGCTGGAACAGTAAAGGCATTACTAGTGTTCTCAGCAGTAGGAATCTGGCTGCGAGAGAAAGAGCAATGCACTGCATCCTGGTGAAACGGTCAGTGCTGTGGTTGATACCATTCCCACAGGTACAATGTTGTCAAAGTCAACAGTCGTTGCTCTATATAGCCTACTGGTATGGTTGAAATTCATTTCTATGCACAGTACAAGGATGAAGGCTCTTCTACTTTGTGGTATTGGTCTCGTGTTTAAGCTAGCTTCATTACAGTGAATTTACCTTCACTACATATTCTTACAGTGGGTCAAAATGTACATGTGATCACATGAGGAGTCAAAGGAGAACTAAATATTTCATGTCTTTTGCAATCCAAGAAATATCTCCATTCTTAAGCAATTCTTGACCTTCATTTGAATGTCATTAAATTGATTGCCAAGCGGTGACGAACAGATCGTAATAGCAATCAAATAGAAATTAAAAAATTGGTTAAAATTCCATCTCTCCCCAAGCAAGTAATATAAATTTTGGGGGTCTCGAGATTTTGAGGACACAGTGCAGTCTGTACATCTTCCTGTTGGACACCCTGTTCACTTTGGTGCCTCTCATACTTGCCTCCATTTTCTGAAGCAAACTTAAGCTGGACACCAACATTCAAAGTGTTCCACGGCAAACTCTTAAAAGTTTTGTTGATTCGTGCGGAATAAGAGCAAACAAATCAAACTAAAAGTGGAAAAAGATCCAGGTTAGTTATCAATGACAGCTGAGAATGGAAATAAACTGTCTGCTAACAAGACAAACATACTTGAGTTCAAACAGCTAAAATTAAGAAGCACACCACATTGATTAGAATAAGTCTGATGAATTTGATATTTTTTGAACTTAATAGGATCTTAAAAGTGATGAAATCCTTAAGTAGCTTGATTGATGTAAATCTAAAACCTGTTTATCTTTTTCTTATTCTTTCATTTGTTTGGTGTTTAACATTTTAATTTTTATAATTGTTTTAAGAAAGAATTGACTGGGTAACAAATTTCGGTTTCCATTGCCACTGGTCAAAGCTGAAAACTTTAACTCATGTTTAGACTGCAACTTTCTTTTTCACTCTGCATTTGTTTGGTTCTTTCTCTTGATGGTAACCTATCGTTCCACCATTTTAAATTCCCATTACCCATCAATCCTCCTTAGTTCCTTTCCCCTTACAAAGAGGGCCAGAACACTGACAAATGCCTTTAATTCTTGCTTAGACCAGTATCATAAATCACACAAGCTATGACAATAGGATGGATAACGAAATCATCCTGCAACACTTAAGTTGCTATTAGGTCTCTTCTGTCCCCTCCCAAAACAGCTTCCAGGTGAGTGCAAAACAATCAAGCATTGCCCAATCTGAGATGTTTACACCTTCATCTTCCATCTCTACTGATGAACCAAATACATTTCCTGGGTCTTTTCAATCTCTTGCTGTGAGCTGATCATGTAGTAGCACATAAGCTTCATGTAGCACATCCAGAATTTTCTTTAGCAAATTTCAGAATTTGATCTTTTTTTGCAAACCATCCTTTCCTCTCACCTCCTGGTGAAGATGAAATCAAATAAGTTGGTCAGTGTTATACCCATGTTTTCTAAGTGTATTTAAGGCACTAAGTCAAAATGCATTGTGAGGACATAATTGTTCAATGATCATGATACAAAAACTGTTGAACATTTGCTCAAAACAGTTTTTTTGGAGGACTCCTCACACTATTCCCCATCTGAAATGTATCATTATCAGCAACTACAACATTTGCATTGAATGCAGTTGTAAAGGTATTGATAGCATTCACCTTTTGTTCCAAAAGATGGATTTGCAATTTCGAATTTTTTTGTTTTAGAATCAAGTTTCCTTTGACTACACAGGCATTCATTCTGCATTTTTACAATGTTTGCAGAATCTGTTAGAAAACAAGCATCTTCCCCTAAAAAATATTTCAAGCACAATTAAGGTTTCAATCAAGCTCGAAAAATGTGAATTTAGTTTTATGCAACACATAAATGAAACAGTTGATGGAGCATTACCCTTAAGAAATCCTTAGCTTACACATGTACACAATAAAGTCTTCAATTTGTACACACAAAAAAATTTGTATTGTAGGCACCCTCACTTTTTTCCCCACAAAAAAAGCAAGAAAAAGAAAAATCAGAAACAAACTGCAGACCATTGCTGCTAACAATCTGCTAAGGACTTCTAAATCTGGCTAATAAAACATATAGGACTTTGATGGTTGTACTTGAAGTGATGGTACTGATGAGAATCCCCTACAGCCACTCGCTGTGTGCAGCAACATCTACAAAGAACATCAAGTTTTGGAATGGGTTGACATAGTCGATATGTACTGGTATGCACTGCTAAGATGTACTTGCCCACTCCCACAGATGCAGGGGTGCCTTCATAGGCATCGTCTGGTTGAGCTGATACCCACTGCAGGCTTTCAGCCCATCAAGTAATACATCAAGGTGCAGCTGACTTCAAATGATAAGTTGCTTCTCCTTGTCCTTGAATTTCTTTTAGAGTCAGTGGTCCTTTGGATAGATCTCATCATCTACCAGCTTTAATGAAGCAATTAGCAACAGCAAGAACTTTTTGAATTTTAGTAATTGCTGAACGACATTTAGGCAGGTAGGAGAAAATAGGTTTATGGCTTGCTTCTTTTGGGAAACTGAATTTGCATGAAATTCCTTTTCTTCATCATCTCCTACGTTAACTTGCTTGATGCTTTCTTTGCAATATTTAAATTTTTCAGGGTCTTTCCGCTCTTACTGAGATCTTTGATCTCCTTTTAAAACTGTAGCTGTTCAGATTCTGGCAACCTTAGAAGGATGGATGCGACATCCAATCTTCAAGTTCACCAGGCTTAATTTTTTTTTTAGTGAGAGCTTCTGCTGGATTTCGTTTTGACACAATGTAGTGAAATTCACCTATTTCAACTGATTCCTGGATTTCTACAATCCATCACTGAAAAAAGAGCCTGAATATTCACGGTGGAATTTCAGATCTATGATAGGATAGTTAGAGATTCAAACCAAAATTTTCTCAGAAAGTCTTTGAAATTGACAAAACCTAGTGTTAGGGGAAAGTATATGTAAGTGCTAGTTAGCTACTAAGGCGAGTCTACTTTTCTTATTTATCACAGAAAGCTACTGGATGCCAGATGTCTATTTCACACTTTGTACTGAAATTCTCTCAATTATGTACCAAGAGCTACTTGAAATGATTAACTATAAATTGCATTCATAGTTTGGTGGCAGTGCGTCCTGCTATTGACTTGGGAGATAAGGTAGACTCTAACTGATGTCATTTTTACATAGACAGGGTGGCCCCTTCAGCACTATGACTAAGGGCCCTGCATAGTCAGTAACTGCTTGATATAAAAAGATAATTAAGACATCGCAGTTATGTAGATTAACCGTAAATAGTACTAGTAAAAATATACAGTATCTTATATTGGTTCTTAAAATTTAAAATTTCACTATAAAAAATTGCGATAAAACATTTCTTAAAATCATTTCAAGATTAAAAAAAATTGCTAAAAAGCAACAACGTTTCGACGTTGGCTGAACGTCATTATCAAGTCAAAATAAGTTAGTGATTTTTGGTCTATAAATACTAAAAACAACAATAGCTGATTAAAAAATTGTAACGTGAGAAAATATCAAACAAAGAGTTTCACACGTATGGAGTCCGTCTGAATATTTAAATTGGGCTTAAGTTTCTTGATGAAGAGCATTTCAAATACTAAGCAATCAAATTTGCTCTGGCACTTTCTTAACACCGTGAATTGGCTTTCTCTCAAAAGGTTGTTGTTACCATGAGCTTCTAAGAAATGTCTACCGATTGCTGAATTTCTGTGCTCAGCAATGCATTGATGAAGGTGTCGGGCTGTATACCCGACATAATCTGCATTGCACAGATCACATGAAAAATTGTAAACAACACACTGCTTATTAACAATTGACGGCTTGATTACTTTGGGTCTGAGGTCTTGCCCCAATTTCTTGCTCACGAAAACTGGTTGCAAAGTAGGGCCAATCTTATGGCTAAGATCGCGTAACCGCTTATGAACCGCATTAGCGGCCACTTGATCTTTAAAAGGAAGACTAATTCTTACTGTGCTACTATCATCATTGTTTCTTTCTGCTTTGTACGCTGAGGAATTTAGAAAAAGAAACTTTTTGATAGCAGAATCAATAACACTTATTGGATAGTCAAGGCGACTAAATATAGAGCGCAACTTGGCACATTCTGCATTGAAAGCCTCTGTTGTAGACGACAAGGAATACGCACGAAGTATCATTGTCTGTAATAAAGAGTCTTTATAGCGTTTATCCGTGTGACTTTGGAAATGTAGGAGCAATCCGGTGTTTATTGGTTTTAATATCAATCATCGATTTGTTGTAATAAAGAGTTTTTATAGCGTTTATCCGTGTGACTTTGGAAATGTAGGAGCAATCCGGTGTTTGTTGGTTTTCTGTAAACTTGAGTTTCAAGTTAAGTTCCGTTCTTGACGATTTCAATGCCAATGAAAGGGATCTTGTTATCCACAGGAAGCTCCATCGTAAATGTTAGACTGGGGTGTAGGCCATTCAGGGTACTAAGAAACTCAGCAGCAACATAAACGCTAGGCATTCTAGCCAGAGTATCATCGACGTACCTCTTGTACAACTGGGGCATCAAGCCCTCGCATGTAAGCTTTTCTTCAAGATGACACATGAAGACATTGGCCATTAGAGGACCAAGGGGCGAGCCCATGGCCACACCATCTGTCTGTTGGTAGAGTTGACCATTAAACTGGAAAAGCTGATTGGTTGTGGCAATTTCGAGTAGGCTAGCAAGCTGGTCCTGATGCGATTGAACATAACGTTGAGCTAGCCAGTTCCTTTTCATCTGCATCATGCAATAATGGCTCTATTCTCCAATACGCCTTCTCAAAGCTGGCTTGAATTTCAATGGGTGAAACTTTTTGAGGTAGAGAAAACTTCAATCCTCTACAAAGGATAAGTTTTTCAAAGAAAGAAAGGCGGTATGAAGACATGTTGTTTATGTGCTCGTCGACGTCAAACTTCTTTGAGATCAAGCATGAGAGGTTGTTGACATGGCATTTCATCATTTGAATGTACTGCTTATTGCAAAGAATACTTAGCGTCCGCACAGTAGTGACAAAGCGAAGAAAGGAGCATTCCTCCCTGACATCCTTGAAGGCGTTTTGGACTTCTTCTTTAAGATGCTTAAGCTGTGTGAGTTTGGATCTCAATTCCTCCTCCATAACTGCCTTTTGGTAGTTTTCTGAGGACTTCTTCCATTTACGTGCTTTACTACGTTCAACTTGTGCGAAAGTTGGTGTAACACCAAAGTTTTTCTGAAAAAGTGTAGTTGATTATTGCGTTTGAACAATGTTTCATGTGATCTGTGCGATGCAGATTATGTCGGGTATACAGCCCGACACCTTCATCAACGCATTGCTGAGCACAAAAATTCGGCAATCGGTAGACATTTCTTAGAAGCTCATGGTAACAACAACCTTTTGAGAGAAAGCCAATTCACGGTTTTAAGAAAGTGCTAGAGCAAATTTGATTGCTTAGTATTTGAAATGCTCTTCATCAAGAAACTTAAGCCCAACTTAAATATTCAGACGGACTCCATACGTGCGAAACTCTTTGTTTGATATTTCTCACGTTACAATTTTTTAATCAGCTATTGTTGTTTTTAGTATTTCTAGACCAAAAATCACTAACTTATTTTGACTTGATAATGACGTTCAGCCAACGTCGAAACGTCGTCACTTTTTAGCAATTTTTTTTAATCTTGAAATGATTTTAAGAAATGTTTTATCGCAATTTTTTATAGTGAAATGCTTTTCAAAATCACTTCTTGTTAGTAAAATTTAAAAGGCAGCTAATAATATTAATCATTTAAATACCTCTTGTGCTAGTAAGGAAATTTGGAACTACAGTATTCTCTAATGAGTTGTGCTTGATCTATGGTAGATGCATGCCATGACGATAATCTCTTGTAATTTTAAGAAAAAAATGAAGAGGTTACAGGTTTCAAAGCAAGTATAGGTCAAAGATATCCTGAAGTAAGCATTTAAAGTTCTGAGTTTACAATGGAATATATTGACTGTCACTGGATAACTTTTCTGGTTTAGGCTTACTAAAAGGAAGCAATCTTCCCTTCCTCTCTTGCCTCTAACTTTGGCCTCTGCTTCTTCCTCTTCCCTCTTTTTTCCCTTTGGTAACTTCTTATAAGTAGTAAAGGAGTTGATGGTTCGAGCTCATTTCATCAAAATGAGCTCAAACTCACCAACTCTTTACTACTTTCCATATGATGGAGATACTTTCATGGAATTATGTCATGACAACGGGTGGTTATGAAAGAGAAAGAATTCTGAGAAATGGAAGGTAGTTTTATTCACAGAAATTGACATACAAATAATTATGCGGTTTTTAATTAAAAGTAAATATTATATAATGATATCGAATGGTTTGTGATTTTGAAATTCATGACACATTCAAAAAATTGGGAAATATAGTTTGTCCTTTTTGTGATAAGCAATGACAAGAATGAGTGGTAAAAAATGAACCACATTGTGTGATGATTAGAGAAGAAAATGTTGATGGCGCATGTTTGTGAGAATTATGGTAAGGTTAATAGGTATGGAGAGGCAATTGAATTTGTTGATTTTTACAATAATCGCTTCAGGATTGTATGTAAATTAGTCTACCATAGAAAGTATCATATTGAGAATGTCCTTATGGATCTGTGAATTTAATATAAATGTATAGGTTGACAATAAGAATAGGATAAAGAGAACTTTTGCAGAAATAGAGACTGTCATTCCTCAAATTAATAAAAACCGTAAGCGAATGATTAATATAAGATTTGTTTTCGGTTAGGTGTTTAAACTTATGGGGTTGCCTTATAAAGACATTCCAGTAACTTAATAGAAAAAAAACATTCAGATTTTATAAACAATATTGAAATGATGTTAATTCAATAAATGGAATAAAGGAGATCGTACAGGAATAAATTTTTGTGAATGCTTATCCCATTTGTAAACTAAAGGATATCATCAAGAACCCTCAACTGAGTTAAGTCGTCTTGATTGTCGTATGATTTGCCTCTCATTAAGGATCGTAAATCAACCAATACTTTTTTAAATGATGTGTAAGCAAAACGATGTAGCTCGCTTTTTTTCTTATAATTTTTAATTTCACTGTAAGTCTTTTGGAATACACTTGATCCACATATAGTCCTTAAAACAATTGGGTTGAGTAAATGTTTGTATATGTGTTTCAAGATCGGTTTAATCAACTATTTCATTAACACACATGGTGACAAGACATACAGATGTAACTCGATCTTAGGCTAGCTAGTTATTGATAGAAATCAAGTGCATATTGTAACATTCTCCTTTTTGAAAAATAAAAAAAAACCATAAGATGTTAATGTTACTTTAGTTCAGAATCAATGGGTCCATACGACAAATCTATCAGCTGATCAGTTGAACATACAAGGATCAATAAATGATAAGCAATAATTACCATGATAATGGCAACAAAAGATATAAAGTCTAGTCACAGACATAGTCCTTGAGGTATACTGGACTCTTCCTGACTCACTCTGACCTTCAACACTGTTCCAGGACAGTCACCACTTCAGGGTGGGATTTATGAGGGGCACTACTCTGATCAACGGTAGGTAGGTAGGTTTTAGTTGCCTTTTCATCTGTACTGGCTATATTCAGTTCTGGCTCTGTGGTGGTGGGTTCAACGGGTGGTTCAGATGTTTTTGCAGATGCTGTCAGTTTCTGCAGTAGACTGCTCCGCTGTTTGTCTCAATAGTGTATGATTGGACAAGCCTTGCCGTGACTTGGGCCTTACGCGTGGACTTCACCAAGCTTGAATGGCTTCATCCTAACAACGTCACCTTGGGACAGGCTGGGTAGATCCTTTGCTGACCAGTTGTACTATTTGGCTTGAGCCAGCTGGTGCTGTTGCAACTTTCTCTTTTCACTTTCCAGGTTTGTAGTCTTGGGCAGTAGTAGGCTCTGAATTGTAGGAAGGAGAGTCTTGGTCCTCTGGCTCATCAGACGTTGTGCTGGGCTGGTTATCATTCCTTGCATGGGCGTGTTTCTATAGTTGACTATGACAAGGTATGGGTTGGTTCCAGCCCTGATTGATTTCTTTAGCGTGCACTTAGCTATCTTTACCCCAGACTCTGCCTTGCCATTGGCCTTGCTCTTACCAGGGCTACTAGTAAGATGCTGAAGATCCCATGTTGTGGAGAAGTTGGTAAACTCGTCAGACATAAATGGTGGTCCATTGTCACTAGTTTCTGATTACTTGATCAGGTATGCCTTAGTGGGCAAAATGACTCCTCAGCTTCAGTATGGTGGTGCTGGCTTTAGTGTTTGGTAACCTGTCCACCTCCCAGAAATTGCTGTAGTAATCTATCGTGACCAGGTAATCCTTGCCATCAAGGGTAACGATGTCTGTGGTTATCTTCTCCCAAGGACGAGATGGGACTTCCTGGGACATCAGTGTCTCCTTTGTCTCCTTTGTGTCCTTTGTGTCATGCTCTTGAGTTTTCTACACGTTTCACATGTGGATATGTACTCTTTCATTTCTGCAGACATGCCTGGCCAATAATACATTTGCATGCACACCTGAAACATGTCTATATCCGGTGGTGGGATGAGTGAATCTTCAGCTTCATATCTGCATGAAGGCTTTTAGATATCATGATGGAATTTGAAGACCAGGCCATCTTGTGTGGTTAGTTCATCGCACATGCTGAAGTTAGAGTGTGTCAGTGCTGGAGCATCTTCCTTGTTATCAGGCCATCCTACGAGAATAGCCTCTGACAACTCTCGCAGAAACTGGTCCTTCCGGGTCTCTGCTCTTATTTTGTATAGTCGCTGGTCAGATATGGGCAGATAACGGACCATTTTGACTGATTCAATGTTGTCTACTTCTCTGCCTTTGTGGGGGCAGGTACACCCTTGAAAGCATGTCGGCCAAGTGCATGTTTTTGCTGTGCTTATAGTGCATGGTTACATTGTATTTCTGTAGCATCATCATCATTAACTGGAGGCATTGAGGTGCCCGGGTGAGTGGTTTCTGTAGAATCATTTCTAGTGGCTTGTGGTCTCTTTTGATGTATTCATGTCAACCAAATGTGTACTGGTTTAAATGCTCAAGAGCGAAGACAATTGTATATTTGTATATTTGAGCATACCATGTTTCTGTAGCAGTGAAGGAACGACTTACATGCTCCATAGGCCTGCCATTCTGAAGTATCACTGTGCCAAGGCCACTCTGGCTGGCACCCCACTGTATGGTAAGGTTCTTTGAGGGATCATAGAAACATAGAACAGGGGCCTTGGTTACTAGCCACTGCACATTTGCTATTGCCTGGTCTTGTTCTGAGGAATCAGTTCCATGAAGTATCCTTCTAAGTCAGGCGACAAATCGGTTCCATGAATTCAGACAGTTTTGGAAGGAACTTGGCTAGATAATTGGTGGATCCATTGAGGTGCTGAATGCCTTCCACGTCTTGTGGCTTGGGACTCTTTGTGATTGCCTCCACTTTAGCAGGATCAGGCTTCAGGCCCTTGTTTGTCAGGAGATGTCTCATGAAATCTACTTTTCACATCCTCATCCTCATATTGTCTGGGTTAGCAACAATACTGTGGTCCTTCCACCTTTGAAGGAGATCTTGTAAACTCCTGCTGTGGTTCGCAGTTGCTTGTTTATTGGTTTCTCTAGTGACATAGATGAGGATGTCGTCCACAATACCCAGAACACTAGGTAGGTTTTCCAGAGCATGAGTTTGGTGTTTCTGGAATATCTAAAATAAGGTGGAGAGACTGAAGGGCAAACAAATCCATCTGTACCTTCCATAGGGGGTTGCAAAGGTCATGAGTACTCTGGATTCAGGGGTAAGGACACGTGCCAGTATTCCAACTTGAGGTCAATTGTCAATATGAAAGTAAGTAAACAAAATAGGTTTGACGAGCAATCGAACAAGCATAATAATGGTGTATTTGCCTCCTGAAACTGGTCATCTAATTTAATAAATAACTGATAATGATTAAATGATGAATTTGGTACAAACCCTCTTGAATACCTGTTAATCTTCAGGAAATATTAATAAGCTATTAACCATTAGATTCAATATATCTAGGTCTGTTCGTATTTGCTTGCACCAAAGGCTGGTGAGATATTAAAGGGTATGAAGCAGTCAGTCATAGTATAAACATCGGGGAGCTGGCTCATCCAATTCTCAGATTTCGCTGATTCTAACTGGTCTGGAATCCTCGGTTTTCTGGACAAAAACTTTTCCATCTACAGTTCAAACCCGGAAGATCTTGTTCACTTTCTTCATTTTCCTTGCCTTGGCCAGGACTTCATGTCTATACTGTGTAAGGTTCTTGTTGACAAAGATCCTTCCATCCGCATAACCTTGTGCAATTCCAATGATCTCCGTAATATTCGTTTCTTTCAAATGGAATCTGCCTTTGTAGAATTCTCGTCTCTTCTTATATAAAGTGAAACGAACTATTATGGGTTTTATGGCTTGCGACTTTCGGAACAATCGATGTACAATGTCGATATCTTGGGTTGTTACATCTACCGACATCTTTAGGTGTATTTTCATAACAATGTCCTGCGGGTTTTCACCTTTGTGTTCCAGAACGCTGTGAATTTCGGCATTAAATTTATGTGTGTCTTGCTCTAGAGCATTGTGATCATATTCGAGGGCCTGCACTCTCCTTCCTAGCTCATTTAGTTCACTTTGTAAAGCACAGTTTGATTGAACTAGTTTCCCATTTTGCGTCTTAAGTGCATCTACTTCTGTAGCATGACATTGCATCGAGGTCTTCAAACTTTCAACGTCTTTTCTTAGTTCCTGATTGTCACTTAAAATCTTCGTAACGTCAGCTTGCATCTTAATTAGAACTGGGTTCATGCTGGGTTCTTCTTCCACCGCCACCATGATTGCTGGGGTGTTAGAACTCATGGCGTTGCTTTCTGTTGAAGCAGGTCTCTTCGCTGCAGGAGAGCGTTCTTCGCTGGAAGACGCACTACTTACTTCACTTCTATTTCTTTGTAGATTGCGCTTCTTATTTGACATCATATGATCTATTTTCTTGCATTTTTGTCGGCTTTTAGGAGGTGAAAGGGCGCACTAGAAAGAACCACGTCTGTTCACCATGACCTTCTCGTCCCAGACCCTGATCTTGTAAACTCCTGCTGTGGTTCGCAGTTGCTTGTTTATTGGTTTCTCTAGTGACATAGATGAGGATGTCGTCCCCAATACCCAGAACACTAGGTAGGTTTTCCAGAGCATGAGTTAGGTGTTTCTGGAATATCTAAAATAAGGTGGAGAGACTAAAGGGCAAACAAATCCATCTGTACCTTCCATAGGGGGTTGCAAAGGTCGTGAGTACTCTGGATTCAGGGGCAAGGACACAGTGCTAGTATTCCAACTTGAGGTCAACTGTCAAGAGTACTCTAGCTTTTGAGAGCTCCAGGAGTATGTCATCAAGTACAGGCAGCTGATACCTTTCTCTCTTGTTGTGGGCATTGTTAAGTGGCCTGGGATCGATACAGAATCTTGGTGCTCCAGACTTCTTCACTGCTGCAGCAAGACTGCTTACCCATGGAGTGGGCTCATTGATTGGAGCGATGGCCTCTAAGTGCTGTAGTGGATCCAATTCTTCTTTCAGTTTCTTTTTGAGTGATGTTTGGACACGGCAAGGCAGTGCAACAATGGGAGTTGCACGGTTCCACTTCAAGATGAACTGTTTCTGGTAGTGCTCCTAACTCTCTCTGAAACACTTCTGGGTAACCTGCTACTATTTCATCAGCTGTTTGTACACTCTTGTGGCCTCTGTCCTCAGTCGTTCAGGTGGTTCTGCCATCTTGAAGGTTAGTGTGTTGAGAGTAATTAAGCCCATCTATTGGGTTGCCTTTGCTCCTATAAGTGGGGTCAGTTGTCAGTCAACAACAAGGAATACCACTGAGAACTTCTCCTTGTTCTTTGGATTGTGGAAAGTTGATCGACAGGAACCCCATGGCTTTAGTGTCGTGTCGCTCCACATTTAAGTAGAAAAAACCAAATGTATTAACTAAAGGATACCAGCCCAGTATCTCCAAATGGAGACAAACAAATTGAGAGGTAATAGTACAAAATATGCTAAAGTGTATTTCACACATTCATAAGAACCATTCCAACAACCCCATAAGATTAGTAGTTCATCCGGTAATAACCTTTGGTGGTGACTTTTTTTTTTCTTTTGTTTGAGTCATCACCCTAGCACTTGCTCTGTTCATAATTAAAAGCTATCTCAGCCTGAAACTTTTGTAACCAAGAAAAAGAAAACGTAAGAAGACAGTCTGTTAGGCAAAAGACTTACCCTGCTACAACTCTTAACCTGTAAAACAAAATTTAATCAATTCAATACTCCAAAAAAAATTATAATTAATAACAATTATTGTAATAATTGTAATAGTAATTGTATTGTAGTAAGTATTGAAATAGTAGCCAATCATATATGGCACTACCTGCCCTCACCCCACCTCAGAAAAGGGTCTTTACACCACATAACAAATGCTGTTTTCAGCTTAGTATACATATGAGAAACTTGCATCTCTGGCATATCAAGAGAAAAAACACTTACAGGAGAAATTAATAATTGTATAAGAAAATGCAGGCACGAAAAACAAAGTTTACTTCCAACAGAAAGCCCGGGTGAATGCGAATATGCGTCTAGTTCATAGTAAAATTGATGTAAAGTTTTGATTTCATCCATCTGATTTTATCAATATTTTTGTAGATATGATTACAATCAAAAATTGTTCTATTTCCTTCCATATACATAAAAAAACAAAAATGTGATGCATCTGACATTACTGTATTTGCATGAGATAAGTCTCTAAGTTTAACAGTTTTTTCATTGTTATAATAGTATTTGTTTCAATTTGTAATAGAGTTATAAAATCTATTTCTATCAGCATCATGTATCTTTTTAGACACGGAATTTTGATAGCTGACAAGATCAACTACATCCATTTTCATCTTGTCATTGAAATTGATGACACCGTGGTATCTTATTCCAAACATTTGAGACATCATTGTGATACCTTATAACACCATACGTTATGACATAAACTTGTAAATCTTGTGTATAACTGATGACAGATTTATTTTTCAAAATCATTTCAATCATGAGATAATTGGTAGTCACATTATTGTATTTATGAAAATGAATTATACTTCAGCATTGATCACTAAACGTCTTAGCCAATGTTCTTAATACTACCTCCATACTACTGGTAGCAGATATCTAGACTGATGAAATGTCAATTGATAAGGAAAAATACAGTTAAAAAAAGACAGTATATTTACCGGTTGCAAAAGGGTACCTATTAAGACCTATGCAACTGCTGTAATACCTTTTGTTTGAGTCAAGATGAAGATTCATCTCATATGTTTTGGTTTTGACTTTGTGAAAATCTTTATTGGTAATCAGGACACCATTCACATCTTCATCACTGAATTCAGAAAAAGGGTTTCCCATGAGATATTGGAGTGTGTTTTTTCTCATTTGTATTTGACTCAGATTGATTTAATCTGTCATCAACATACTTCTCATAATAGGTCTTGATGATTGCATTATTGTCAGACTTTCATATTGAGAAAATTATTGTTAGCAGCAAGAGTGCTTTTATGTGGTTGTGCCTCTTTGAGACTGATTATACTTCTTGTAATCATATTGAAATCACCAGTCGTTATTCTTGAAACATCAATTTAAAAAAATTACTTGTTTTTATATCAAAAACTGTTTGTTGGAACTGTCTGTTGCATTTGCTGGGTCAGCAAGATTATCTAGCTTATTTCCCTTCATGTTGAGACCTTTTGATGGATCAAGAGTGACGGCTTTACTGTCAACAAACTGTTTGTTAACAAAGTCTCGATTCCTGTAATCTGCTGAAGGATGATGTGGGATTAGTTGCTTAATTGTCTGTGGAAGCAGGTTATCCATTATGACTTTTTTGATAGTTATGTCAGTCATCTGTGATAACATAACAGCATCATCATCATTTTGACCTCTTCTTAAATGAGTTATTGGCTTATTATCAGCATGCCATGCATTATTTATATCAATTTTCAAACCAGAAGAATCACACCAGCGTTTAACTTTTTAATGCATTCGTCAGTTGCTTTTATAGTCCCATTAATAGTGTCGAGAATCACACCCCGATCAGGTGATAACTAGGCTCCTAAAGGGACTTTTCCTCATTAGGAAAAAATCCGGACTTGAGCAAATCTGAACGGACGACTAAAACTGTTAACTTAAGCAGAGACAAAATCTGTTTCCCCTCCCAAACCATCATCAGGAAAATAGCTTTAAGGATGCCCTGGCCCCTCCACAATTTCTGTAATGGCCTCAAGATTGATGTAAAAATATGCAGAGCTGAAGAGAGCTCTAAAGGGATCACACAGAACTGAAAATATATTGGAAATCCAGTTGCCAAAATCCCAAACAAAAGTGAGAAATTTTCTGTGGCCTGGGAAAATATCAATGTGGTGATAACCAGACTTAAAGTCAAATTTAAACAGGTAATAGTAACAACCAAATAACTGTGTAGCGACACCCAGATCTTTCAATTTAAACTTTTGCCTGTATATAAACTGGTTGTCAAAGATCCAAAATGAGCCTTTGCTTTCCTGAACTACAGGTAGAAACTGAAAGTGTGTTAATGATACCGGGCTTACAAGCAAGTTCTTCAATAAGGTCCAAACAAGGTAAATCACTGACAGCTTGCGAAACAAAATCACTTTCCTCACGAGTAGAAGTGTTGTTTCTCTTAACAAAAGGTGTTGTAAGTTTAAAGAAGGGAATTTTTTAACCCTGCACAATAGCTTTCAAGGTGAATTGCAAAACTTCAAAAGAGCACCAAAAATCCACTATTTTTCTAAGTCTTCCACATATAGATGAATAAGTTAAATCAATTGCAAGAGAGTCTGAATCTTTGAAGGAATCTAACATGAAAGGATCAGCACAAGCAGCAATGCTAGGATCCAAGTCAGTAGCACTGTCCAATTGCGGTTGCAAAAACAAACTGCTGACTTCAATGCTAACAGAGGAAAGAACTACACCTGAGTTGTGGCAGTCCTCTAGTCTTTTTGTTGATGTATTTTGCTGGGCAGTTGTTAGACAGGATACACACCAGTGGCCAGATTTACCACACGCAAAATATGTCCCAGGTTAAAGTCGAGGCGAAAAACCAGGCACAAGTGCGGGAATAGCTCGTGGTTGGCTTAACACAGTAGCTTATATTCAAGGACCTTAGCCCATCTGTAGTCTGACTTGTTGGCCAGAAAAGTGTGTTTCTGTCGCTCAGAAATGAGTGTAGCATCTTCTTCTAGGCTCGTTTTGACCTTCTCAAGCTGTGAATTTTCTGTGGCAGATTTGGTGTGGTCAAGCGTCTTGCTAAGCCTCTGGTTAAACCTGAATCGCTTCTTGTTTGCCTTTTTCTTAAACTAACGACATTTGTTGAATCTGAGGCAATGCATCTCTTTCATCTGGCTTTCCGCCTATTCTTTGTTTGACCGTTTGATCTGAGAAATGGTCTGCTCTAAGAGGCCTTCGAAAGAATTGAGAAGATTTTCATTGTTAGCCTTGATTAGAGCTTTCACTTCTTCTCTCTCGATTGGCATGGCAACAGCGAGAAGAAATGACCAGAAAAAACCACTTAAAAACCACTGAATTTGGCATCAGCCAAAGGTGCAAGGTTGGTTCTGAAGCCTAGATGGACATCATGTGCTATACTCCCTCTTAAATACACCGCTGCATCATTAGCCATGATGCTTGGGCCTAAGGCCCAGGCCTTGTGGTATCTACTGCCGAAAAAATATTTACTGTATTTATTTATTTATTTTGCAGACTCAATTGTCAGAATACTATTTTCCACTCATAACCTCAAAACTGATTTCTCCCTTATGCAAAGTAAGAGCATACAGACTAAATCCAGCATTTGAACCACCAGACAGAGTTCAAGTTTGGCTGATCCTCTTTTAAGTTTCTCTTTTTGGTTTGTCAAATTGAAATACAAAATTCCATACGGATCCTGAAAAGACTTCAAACTGACGGTAGGTTCTGAGAGATAAACATTGAATCCTTTTGTATACGATATCAATGTTCTGTATGTTTTCGCTACTTCAACTTTTAGATTAATTCTTTCTTGTGGATGAAGGACATTATTCGACATTTCAAGTTGAGCAGGTGTGATTGTTCGACCATTAGCAGTGTTGTAATTATTGAACAGAAACATGTTTTTTTCTTCATTATTCAATTTATCATTATTTCGAGCCCAAATGGATACACGTCCTGGTTTTCTGATGCTGCTTGTAAGCTTAAAACTTCTCTGTCTTTGCCTTGTGCTTAGTGAAATCTTGATTCTTTCTTTGAGATATGAGGTTTCAAATACTGATCAAGAGAAATCTGTTCACTCAGTGCGTTGAAAATCCTTTTAGGCCAAAAAAAAAAAACAATCTGCCCACATCAAGACCAGCTGCTGTAAAAAGCACATTAGCATCCGATTCGAAATTCATATCAAAACTTACTTCACCGTTTGGTGCTATTTGATCGAAAAAAGAATTGAAAAAATAAAATCTATGAAGTGGTAAGATCACATTATTACTTGCTTCAGCACCAGTAGAGAGAGACACCTTTCTTTCTCCTTTTCTTTCGTCATTGTAATTTGCATTAACACCATGAACAACATCACGAGCTTCATAACATCATCTGCATCATTGCAAACGTGTTCAAATCGTCTCATTGTATAGTGATTAAAATCAGCATGGATAGTTGTATCCACATTGTGAAAAGACAAGGTCCACCTCTCTCGCTATAGTCTTTGGAAAACTCAGTCAAATTTTTGACATTGAAGGCATGATTAATACCAGGAGTGTCTAACACATTCGCACCACTAAAATCCACTTTGAGTTGATTGATAAGAGGAAAAGCCCCGTTTACAACTGCCACTGCATTCTCTGCTGCATAATTGGTGTTATCTGTTGTTTCTGTGATCTGGAAGTCCAATTCAAAATATACATTATACCAATCAAATGGAAGAGATTCATTGCTGGAATCAACAACAAACTTGTAGCCATTTTTTTCTGAGATTGACCATTGGCAGGCATTGTGACAGTCTTGTGACAGCAGAAAATGTTTATTTTGGGTCATATTCACAGGCTCTTTTGATTGTAATTTTCTTGTTCTCTGTTTGTGTGTGCAAAAATTTGATGATTTCCTCTCCTTTATCCTCTTTTGGACTGATATGAAAACCAGTGCCTTGTTTGTGCTATTTAACATCTCTTGTGTCCTGTCTCTGGTGTTTTAATGGCTTGGGAGTATCGAGTTTGTCGTAAATTTTCTTTTGATTAGCTGGCCTGTTTTGCTCTGAACATGTTTTGGAACTTTTTCAATGGCTTCTGTAGCTGCCTTTGTAGCGACATCTTTGTGTGTTTTGGTATGCCTGACAGCATATGCAGGTCATTGAATATTTGAATGGCTTTGCTCGAATATCTCTTCTTTGGATTGAAACAACTCAATGAAACTCTTGTCACCATGGGTTTCAAACACAACCTTTCCCCCTTTGTGAGCTTCCACAATCATCTCATTCATGAACTGGGGCGCATTGATTAACGGACCACCCTACCGACCATTGTTGATCTTGTATACATTTCGTTTTGGTTGCTTGTATTTTCTGATTCCCTCACCTGATTTTGCTTTTTAAAAACATCTTTTAAAATCTTGTCTTTAGTCTTTCTTCTTTCACTCAAGCAGCTTATTTTTGGATCTGATTTCTTTCAGAATTGATGTATTTTCAAAGTCGGATCAAAAGCGTATTTTTTTGACTTCTTTGTCATTCTTTGTAAAAATGTCATCATTTGTATTTTCATCTTCATCTTCATCATCACCATCACTCTCTTCAATAGTGTCAAATGGAACCAAACATGACGGTAAGTCTGATAACCATCTTTTAACTCTATAAATTGACCCCTAATGAGACCCTTGTTGAGACATTATGTCGAGACATTATGTCAGAAAGTACATCAAGTGAATTAATAATTTTTGTTGGTTTTCCTGTAGTTTTTCAATTAGCTAATCCTGTTTCTTATCAATAGTCTCTTTTACCTCTTTTGGTGTGTCAATAACTGGTTTGAGTGTTGCTCTGGTTTCTATTGATACATATCTCTTCCATCTCGGTAATCCTGAATTCCTTTTGATATATTATGTCTCAGAAAGTCAGCTTTCGTACGCCTTTCAGCATTCTTTCTCCGTCTGTTTATGTCCATATATAATAGGATTACATAACGAAATGTTAAATGACAGTTATTCCTTAAGATATCTGTCAAAAAGCAGATATTTTAATATACCCTTATAATTTGAAGATTCCCAACCATGACAATAACAATGTGACAACAAACAAAGTATAAAAATAGAAATTTGAATAAGTTTTTGAATGAAGAGTAACGCATTTTGTTTGCAGGCAATCAGTTTGTGGGAAGACAAATACTGTGATGCATATGTTACGTAAGCCACTTGTTTATTTTGATAAAATGTATTTGTACACACACAATGGACATTAAGCCAAAAGTAAAACTCTGAGTAAAATAATGAGTCAGATATCTGACAAAGTTGGTTATTATGTTATGGAAATAAAAGGACAGGATGACATCATGGACACATGTGAATACCCTAAAGGAAACAGAAAAATTGTTGTTTTTGATGATCTTGTCAGTGCACTAGATAAAATCCAATCAAAGATAGCATGTCATTTCAAAGATGGAAGACATCATGATTTTTCACCAATCTATCTCATTCAATCTTATTCTGATGTACCCCAGAAACTGAGATTAAACTGTTCTCATGTGATACTCTATCCTCCTGTGACAAAAAATCACTGTAATTTGATTGTAAAAGAGAACGTGATCGATCCCAAATTATTCGATTGGACCTGTAACACATGTTTCTTTGATATTTTACCTTTGTTAACAGTTCCTTTATCGATAGTCTGATTGACTCTCGGAGCGAAGATGAGTACACTGATCAGTCGAATACTGACCGAGAAGCCAGGGAAGACTCCATCAAATGGTGTGAACCAAATATAAACAGCTACTATAAATACGACCTTAAACTGGCCCAAATTAACATCAATGGTCTACGCAACAAACCTGATGAAGTTAAACAAATTCTTAACTGCAAATTATTTGACATGCTATTTATTAGTGAGACTAAAATTGATAATACCATATGAGATTGAACTTAAACATCCTAGTTTTTGAAGATTGTGACATGACCGTAAAAAAGATGGCGCTGGCGTTGTAGCATACGTACATGATGACTTTATGTCTTCTGCTCACAGAAGAAATAAATTTGAACCAAGCTACCTGGAGTGTCTGTCTGGATTTAAAGGACTCCAACAACTCCCGATTTATTGTACTCGCTTGCTACAGATCTCTGAGTAAATGTAAGATTTCTGACTTCGTAAAATCTCTTTCTTTGGTTACTGAAGAGACCTACAAATTAAGGAATGAAATTCTCCTGGTGGGAGACTTCAGCTTGGACATGTACCAGAATGAGATGAAAGGAAGGAAACCCAACAAAACACTGGTTGATTTCTGCCGAAAGTTTTCTTTTGTTAACCTTATTACTGAGCCAACTTGAGTGACTGAAAAATCCAAAACTTTAATGATGTCATTCTATCCAGTCATGTGGAAAGTTTTGCAACAAGTGGTACCCTTTCTCTTGGGATTGGTGATCACGATCTCATTTACACTATCAGAAAATGCAAATTAACAAGACCTAAACCTCGCAATATTGAATATCGTAGCTTCAAACATTTCAAAGAGGAGGATTTCATTGCTGCTTTACAAAACGTTCCTTGGTATGCCACCTATCTCTATGAAGATTCCCATGACATCTGAGAACACTGGTCGAAACTTTTTAATTATTTACTCAAGTTGCATGCCCTTTGAAGAAGAAACAAATACGGTCAGAGCAACTGCCATGGATAACAAATGAAATAACGTGTGAAATATCTCCACAGAATCGCCTTTTTAAGCAGTACAAGAAAAAAGTCAATGTCAGACTCCTGGCAGTCTTATCATAAACAATAGTAAAAAGTTAGATCTCTTAAACGCAAGGAATTGAAAGCCTTTTGCTTTATGGCCTCTACAAACACTAAGAATCCTGGTGAATTCTGGAAAAGATGAAACCTTTAATGTCCAACTGTAAATCTGACGCAATGAATAAAGTCAATTTGATGGAAAATAATGTTTTAATAACTGACTCAAAACATGTTGCTGTTAACTACTTGGTTCTGCAAAAGTCTTATTCATACACACACTAATCAAAGTAATAATCCTATCTAGAACTAAACTCACGAGTTTATGTACTTGGTAGCATTTCTGCATATCTTACGGTTGGGAAAATATACACTTATTGACAAGTATTTATATTGCAACAAAATGCAGAGACCTTGAACGATTATTTTGTCAATGTTGCTGGTTCTAAGGATTCCACTTCAGAGGAATTTGACGATCATCCCAATGTTCATTGTATCAAGATAAAAAATTACAACCTTGCCTTCAAATTTCATACGGACAATCTTAATCCCAAGAAGTCAGTTGGTATTGAGAAGATCTCATCAAGAGCTACCAGCTTGTCCTCACCAGTTTTGTCCTGTGAAATTACACGTGTTATTAATGACTTCATTGATACCCAGTCATGTCTGTTGGTATGGAAATCAAGCAACGTGACACCCCTTCATAAAAAAGCACATGAGAATGAGAAGTCAAATCATCGTCCCATTTCTATCCTTCCAGTTATATCCAAAGTATACGAGAACGTTTTGTTTGACCAGATATACACTGCCATATCTCCGCATTTTTCTTCCAACCTGTCTGGCTTTTTGAAGGGTCACTCTTGCTGTATAGCTCTAATTAAAATCACAGAAATGACAGAAAGGGTATTGTTGCCATAGCCATCGACCTTATCAAGGCCTTCAACTCTATTTCCCATAATTTGCTTATAGCAAAGCTTAAAGATTATGGGTTTGACACAGATGCCATTAATCTTATAAAGTCTTATTTGCTTGGTCGTCACCAAAGAGTTCGACTCGACAACGCTTTTTCTGAGTGGAAACCAATCACAGCTGGTTTACCTCGAGGATCTCTACTTGAACCCCTCCTAATCAATATTTTTATCAATGATTTGAACGATTTCATCTCCACTGTGGCTCTCCGCTTCTATGCTGATGATACAACGGAATAATACACAGATCACTCGCTCCTGGTTTTAATTGTACCATTAACAAGGAACTGAACGCTATCAAAGAATGGGTTACAGTAAACCATCTATCAATAACTACTGTGAAAACTCGAGGTTTTGTCATTGGAACAAACACTTACAAGTACGAACTTTGGCTTGGTGATACTCCTTTAGAAATACAAGACTCTCTAAAGGTACTAGGAGTAATCATTGATTCGAACCTGACCTTTTAGGAGCATTTAAAAACCCAGCTTAATAAGGCATATGCTAAGACAAACGTTTTATGTAGAATAAGACTTTTTATTCCAACGTATGTAATGGTTCAATTATATAAGGCTTTTATTCCTCCTCGTCTAAAGTATTGTGGCCCAATACTTATTGGAATAACTAAATCTTTATCTAATAAAGTAGAAGATGCAAATAACTATATTATCAGAACGTTATTAGGTTTACCTATGTCCACTTCGTATGATAGCATTCTTAGATTAATTAACATGCGTACACAAGAACAAAGGAGGTTTTTTAATGTTTTGATCCTACTTTTTAAAAGGTTCAATGGGAATGGTCCTGGTTACATTAAAGATTTCCTTCATCTTCGTACAGTGAACTATAATCATAGAGGCTCAGGCACTTAGCTTAAGCAAAATTCTTTTATTAGCAAGTGGCGCCTTAATTCCTTTGCATTCATAGCCAGCCACCTTTGGAATACTTTACCATGCACTGCTAGAATTGCTGGTAATGTGAATACTTTTAGAAATATCATAGACAGATTAAACCTTGTACCGTTTATTTATTGCTAAGCACAATAATAGGAATTTGTGACTGTACCTTGCACATGATTGTTTATAGTCTTTTGTACTTCTGTAATTTTCATTATTTTCAGTATTTTGTAATTGCTTGTGTGCATTGTAAACGAGTATGCGGAATGCTCCTAGGCGTTATGTGGATAAATAAACTATCTATCTATTCAAGAGATTGGGACCATATGAATTCCTGTTTAAAAGAATAAAATAAAAGCATAATGAAGAATTTTGATGAAAATATGTAATCATATTATAGAGTGACAAAATCTTATGGTGTGAGAGAAAAACAGCAAACTGATTGTGCTCCAGGTAGTCAAAAGTATGAGAAGACCAAACACAACAGACTGATTTTAAAATGTACCTGTGCTTCCTGTGGTACTGCTAAAACGAAGTTTGTCAACCAGGGAAACTAGAAAAGCCCTCATAAGCTGGGGGCAGGTTTTCTTGATGTTGCAAACAGCCATTGTCTTAGTGAAATGGCATTGAAAGCTGGTGTGAAAGGTTTGTATAATCTTGGTCAACTTGGTGCTTCAAACGCTATCAAATCTAATTTTGCCAAAAAGAAGACAAGTGGAATGACTGATAAATATATTGATCAAGCCCTT